GTGTGTTCCACCGTGTCCTCAGGGCGGTCCTCGCAGTGATGACACCCGGGCGTTTCCTCCCGCCCCATCAGACACAGGTACCTCCCGAAACTGCCATGTCCGGTGAGGACCTGCGTCAGGCGGTAGGTGAGGACGCCGTAGCGTCTCTCAAGCCACTCCTCAAAGAGGGGACTTACCGCTGCGATGGCAGCGAGCCCAGTCCTCGGTTGCGACAGACAAAAAATTAGGCATCTACCCTATTGGAAGATTCGCGCTATATTATTATCATCATCATATTAGACACAAGACTGCTGAACATAGGCCTCCCCCAGTGGCTTCTAGATCGGCCGGTGAGAAGAAACCTGTATTACATACAGACATACATAACATAACGCCTTTAATCCCCGAAGGGGTAGGCAGAGGTGCACATTATGCCACTGTACAATGTAACACCCACTTTTCACTATTTATGTTATGAGTCCCATGTAATAGGGGGCGAGCCTATTGCCATATACCGGGCACAATTCCAGACTCCGTGACTACTACTGACATTTTTTTTTAATCGCAGTAATACTTTGCCCGACACGGGAATCGAAACCGAGACCCCTTGCCCGGCAGTCGCACTTGCGACCACTCGGCCAACGAGGCAGTCTGTATTCAGTTTCTCAATATCACTTAATATTAACTCACCATTATGACTATCAGCATAAGGTGCAGGCAGTTGTCCATTAAACTCGCTGGGTATGAACCTGACACTGAATCCTTCAGGGAGGTGGAAGCTAGACGGGGATCGATGCCATTCCTTGCCGAAGCAGACTGTTAGTTCTGCATCGGGAGATGGAGGCAGGTCTCGGAGTATTGTCATAGGTCCGTGGTAGTTTGTATATAGAGCTGCTATGCGGGATAGACCTGGAATTGGAAATTGTGCTTTACTAGCTTTTACTCGCGGCTTCGCTCGCGTCACAAAAGGATAAAAAGTAGCCTATGTGACATATACCAATACATACAGCGCCATCTATACCAATACTTTTGTTTTCCCTAGGGAATATAATTTTTTTCGGGATAAAAAGTACCCTATTGTTCAATCCAGACTACTAACTATACGTCTGCAAAAATTCAATGCAATCGGTTTAGTAGTTACGGCGTGAAAGTGGAACAAACAAACTCACTTTCAGATTTATAATATTAGTAAGGATTGTTTTTGTCTTACTGTCCACCCACGAGATGGCGCTGGTAAGGTGTTTGACTGATGTAAGCAAATATTATGTTGGACAATAAACCATAAAATACACTAGCACCTTTAGTGCACCTAATGTAAAACTTAGCTTGTACATGATAACTCATATTTAGTAGTTTTGATCAATTCCCAAGCGGTCACCGATGACCGCTCTCTACTCACTACATTATAGACCTTATTTCCGATGTTTAGAGACTACTTTTAATTGAACAAATTTTTTGGATTTCCGGTACAATATCATCATATCATCATCATCAAAAATCCTGATTATTGTCGGCATTGTTGTTATATTGGTACAATGTAAATGCATTGTTTTTAAGTTGGCTTCACCATTGTCTTTGATCTTGTCTCTAGCATCGAGCATCCCTACTCTCTCTATGGTTTTCCTCTTACTTCTCATATAAGCATTGTTAGTACAAGTTAATAAATAAATACAGTTTCTAAATAATATTCATACCTATGTTTTATTTACAACAGGCATTTTAAATCTTTCTAATTGAAAGATACTGTTTACTGAATAAGTTCATATTATTCAAACCCAAGAACCGAACAGCACTTACCAGCAAATCCGGCAATAAGTACACACATGACCATTAGAGGGCCGGTGTAAGCGAGATAGTGTCTCCTCTCTCGCTCCCTCCTCCAGCGGAACAGTTCCGTGCCGACTGCGAACGTGAGCTTCTGTAGACAGTCGAGTGCTATCGCGCCCGCCAGGATTATCATACTGTAGGCTGGGTACAGGAACCTGGGGATAAAAGAATAAAGAATATTAATGGCAAGTACTTTTTCTTTGTAATTTATGCAGTGTCACATTTTGGATTAGGTAAAGCCTTATAAGGGTATGACCATTAATTTCAAAATTTTTCGATCGAATATGAATGATTATTTATCTAAATCGATAAAGATAAAAAATGACTGCACGGTTGGTGCGGTGGCTGGGCAACCGGCTGCCATGTAACGTGTCGCGGATTCGTTTCCCGCACGGAACAACACATTGTGTGATCCACGAATTGTTGTTCCGGGTCTGTGTGTCATGTGTATGTGACCTTGTATGTTTGTAAACGCACCCACGACACAGGAGAAAATACTAGTGTGGGGCAATGTTTTAAAAAAAATTGTAGCTGCAGTATTAAACTGTCAAACACCGCGAGGACACCGGTGACCGCAACCTATTGTTCTTTAATTGTGTCTATAATGACGGAATTCAAAGGGTTCAGTCAATTATCCACAGGACAATGACAGTCAGTCTATTCAGTTCAATAAATCAGTTATAGTGAAAACATATCTCTCGTCTGTATTAACTATAAATACAGTTATTCGCGTAAATACACTGAGAAACGCTCAAATAGTTTCGAGTAGTAATAGGCAATAGTAGGCTGCGTGAAAACGCCGCGACCGCGTACGCTGCTCATGAGGAAGAATCCCTCTGTTACTCGAAACTAGTAGAGCTTATCTCAGCATATTTACGTGAACAACTCGTAATTGTTAGTTACGACTTTGGCTGCCAATAAAAAGCTGTTGAAGGTAAATCCTCCTCTAACGCCGGTCACCGGTGACCCCCATGGGCCCATAACCTATAATTAAACAACGTAAGTTGGTTGACAAGGTACAACTAACTTTTATTTCAAAAAAAATAGTTAACGTCATACATAACAGATGGCAGCACCTTAAGTTACTACTACACATTGTTAATATTCAAAACAACAGTCTTTAACGTGTTAATTCAGCATGTCTCACGATAGTTATTATAAAAACATACCTCTCCTCCTTATGCGGTTGTAGCATGAATACAGCCAACCACAGTACAAGTGGCAGTAAATCCAACCAGTACGGGGCACAGAACGCGGCCCGAGCTGTCGACCGACCTGCTACTGCCGTACAAGCCAATAGAAACACTGGACAGGATAGACAAAGCACCTAGAATGAATAGAATAATATTTATTTTTTATTGTTCTGCAGTATGAGACTCTATTGTTAAAGATTTAAGGTTGAATTTTGTACAATACTACTACACCCAAACGCACATGATAGTCCTAACACCTAGAAGGGAGATATGCAATAACGGATTCTATTTTCTATATGTTTAGGGTTGAATTCTGCAACACACCCCACACTGTACTACGACCCGCCATTGCCGTGCAAGCCAACACGAACACTGGACATGACAGGCTCTATCTGTAGTAAATAGAAAGGATTTTGTATGCGGTATACAATAAGAGACTATATGTTGTTTAAGAATAAAGTTGAATTTTGTAACACGGCGGGAATAGGTGGTATCACCTAGAGGAAAATAATATTGATTTGTGTTACAATACAGTACAAGAGTCAGTAAATCGAGCCAGTATGGAGCACAGTACTCGGCCCACGTAGTAGACCGTCCAGCTACTGCCGAGCAAGCCAATAGGAACACTGGACTGGATAAGCATAGCACCTAGAGGAGAATAGAGTTTATGTAAAAAGAGACTCTATTTTGTCTAAGTACAGGTCGAATTTTGACTAGACAACAAAACAATATATTAATAAGATGTATTCCTGTCACTATGCAATCGAAAATTCTATATTGTTTAGCTCAGTTCAGTTCAAAATTCAACCCAAATACACAGTACATAAAGCTTATTATACAGAAACTCACCCAAACAATATTGAAGTTCAAGAATCCGTTAACAAAATAATAAGTCCAGGGTTCCACGCCATACAAATCAGGTCCGTGCTCAGTAAATATGTTGTAGGCAATAATGTTCCACGGAGCGATCACCAATCTCCCATAATGCCAAGAATCCACTAATACTGTAGGCACTATTATAGCTATCAGGGATATTACGGACCATTTTACAAAATCAATTATTTGTCTTTTCATTATGATCATGTCAATGGCGATGGGTATTCCTAGTAAAGCTGTGAACGGCCAACCTGGAAAGGGAAATTGGTTTTAATGGTATGGATTGCTGTCATGCTCACTCAAAGATCTCATTGGCGGTGGCAAGTGCATTGGATCGCTCGATTCCCTATATTGAGTTCGGCGGTGCTGGAGTACGTGTAATGTTCGTGAACGGGCACCGGCAATTGGGACTGGTCGGCTCACTGTCTGTGACACAGTTACTGTATGATTTTATTATCCTCAAGGTTATTTTCTTTTCAATATCTTTGACTGCATTTAGGTGTTGCATTGGTCTCACACAATCGAACCAATAAAACTATATAACTAGATAATTGTATTGTAAACCTGATTGAAAAAGAGTAACCTATGGAGTTTCTTGCTCGTTCTTCTCCATAGGAATCTACACCTTGGAATGAGCAACTAGGTTCACTTCTATACTCCGTCTGTTTAGGTAGTTAACTATTTGTAAACAAACCATAAAAAGAGTTCTTTATAGTTGACATTTCTATGATTCAAAATACTTCATAAGAAAATAAAATTGTTGCCCTTTTTACGACAGTTTTCTCTATTAAATGTTATGTTTCTGTTCCTTTTCACTTAATTCTTAGTAAATATTATATATATCTGCTTGAGGATATTAATTTAATAACATTTATTAAATAATATAATATTTCATTACAATAGACACCATATAGAGCCTAAAATCCCAGGTATCCAAAACCCTTCTTTAAGAACGAAGCAAAATAATGTTGTCAAATTAAAGAGTACAACTAAGATGTAGCGCGACAATGAAAGTAGCGTGTATTACGTTTAATCGGTTAATCAGGCGCCGTTGACAGCTCTCTCGTCGTTTGCGCTCGCGTTCCTATTTTGTTGAATTTATCTTGTTTCTTTGTTTTGTTTTTGTTATTAAGTTATTTAAGTTTGGGTATACATCGTTTGTAATTAATGTGTTCAAATATATTGAAGAAACTTCGCCCAAAGACACATATCCGTACAAGAAAGAAATCCGTACATCAGATTCAGAATAGTTTCTATTTAAACATGATAATGAAATAGACCCATAGGCTAGGCTCTTGTACGATTTAGGCATTTGTACTTGTATGTGTGTGTATGACAAATGAACGATTTTAAAGTGAATTTAGTTAAAATTAAAACACGAGAAATATTTGAAGTAATAGTAGGTTATCTCTGTGTCACGTGGTTTTCTTTGTTTACCTTTAGTTAATTACCTAAACAGATGGACTATAAATTTTTGTTGTTGACGTTCAAAAGTGCCATCCTGGTCTAATTGAAATAAATTATTTTGACTTTGACTTTGGAGGATAGAGTTGTTTTTAGAGATTTTTGAACAAGAAGGCTATGTTTGAAAAACGTATTGAACAAAAGTATTACTTGGACTTCCAATCTCGAAGCAATTGAAAGTGAAACTACCTTTTTGGTGGAGTCAATGGTAATCCAATACCAATTGATTTGATTTGATATAAGTAAGAAAAAAGTAAAAAAATAGTAAGAAAAATATACCAAGTAAGTCTCAGGTTCGATTCCCAAATTGAACATAGCATGAGACTGATAACAAACGTAATAAACAGTAAGCTTTTTCTTAAATGCGATTCCTGTGCTGTAGTTTGTCTCTTGATTAGCCTTAACTTTGTTCTTAATCTGTCAAACACCAAGCGGTCACCGGTGACCGCGACCTATTATTCTTTAATTGTGTCTATAAAACCGGTACTCGACGAGTTAATTAACAGATGAATAATTCTTTTCTCTCTAGATTTTTTGTTTTAAGGCGTAGTAGTAAACGGGCAGACGGATCACCTGATGGTAAGCAATCGGCGTCGCCCATGGACACCTGGAACACCAGAGGCGTTACAAGTGCGTCACCGGCTTTTTGGCGATTAAGAGTTTGAGGATCGTTGGGGATTCAGGGATTGGGGAGATTGGGGAAGGGGAAGGTAATTGGGCCTCCGGTAACCTCACTCACACGACGAAACACAACGCAAGCGTTGCTTCACGTCGGTTTTCTGTGAGGCCGTGGTATCACTCCGGTCGAGCCGGCCCATTCGTGCCGAAGCATGGCTCTCCCACACTTATCATCGAATCAAGAGAGAAAAGAATTATAGCGTATCAAGAGTCTTGATACGCGTAGAAAATTTGGCCAAATTATCATAATATACTTACTAAGCAATGCCGAGACGGCAGTCAGGAATATAGCAGTAGGGTATCTGCGCCGCCACCAACAGGCGAGCGCTGCACTGGCAAGCGCGGCGCTCCACGCGGACGGCAACATGGCGGCGCTGCATGCAAACATACCCGCCGCCGGCAGGGTCATACCCAACCATACTCTACCCACGTGGACACCAAACTCGTGGCATATTGCTCTGGGGAATAAAATTCATTACCTATTTATGAAACATCCTTTATATTTGGTTTATGAATACAAACTCTGTAATGAAATGATTAATCTTCCCTAAACAATGTAATACTAATCTGCAGCTGTAGCCAAATGCCATTTAGCGCTTGTCTACATGTAGAATAGAAAACCAAATTATAAATAACTAGCTTTTACCCGCGGCTTCGCTCGCGTCACAAAAGGATAAAAAGCCAATGTGACATATAACAATACACACATCGCCATCTACACCAATACTTTTGTTTTCCCTCGGGAATATCAAATTTTTCAGGGATAAAAAGTACCCTATTATTTAATCCGGACTTCTAACTTTACGTCTGCAAAATTTCAAAGCAATCGGTTTAGTAGTTACGGCGTTAAAGTGGAACAAACAAACAAACTCACTTTCCGATTTATAATATAAGTAAGGAAGTAAGGATTATATGGGATTGACGTAAATTTTGACACTTGTCAGTGTCATCCCCATATATTTAGTTTTCTACTCTCTCTGTAGACAAGAGCTAAAGTGGCGTTTGGCTAAAGGCCTTGACTACCTTATTGCCAATGTCGTTGCAACGAAAAAATTGTGTCAAGAATCATAATTCGGATTCCCGTGTTGGGTACCAATAACTAGTATTATTCAACTTTTAAATCTTCGCAATTATCACTCAGGCAACCACCCACATAGGCAAATATTTATCTCTGTTTATACAAACATCAATTGGAAAATACATGAAAAAATTGATTTTAAACATTTACAAACTTCAATACAATAAACACACTTACTTGTAAAACATAAGCTCAGCGCAAGCAGAGAGCACGGCTAACACAATCCGTAGAGCATAGAACACGGACACAGGACTCATGAACCAGGAGAGTATCTTGGCAGGTACCGCAAACAGCCATAGTGGCATATACGACCTTATTGCATAGTCTGGACTGTATTCCCAAGTTTGTAGACCACTGCCATACACTGGAAAACATAGTCGTAAGTTATTAGTTTGGTTGCAAATACAGCTCGACTGTGATTATAAGAAAAACCTAAGAGGTACTTTGAACCATTGTAGGAAACGTCGAAGGAAATGGTAGTAAAGAGAACTATTCAGTTTGTCCTTATTAAGATATTGTATTCACAATGATAACAGTCAGTAAAGTAATGAAAGCTTATTACAAAACTGACTGCCTCGTTGGCCGAGTGGTCGCAAGTGCGACTGCCGGGCAAGAGGTCTCGGGTTCGATTCCCGGGTCGGGTATTACGGAAGTATTACTGGGTTTTAAAAAATTCTCAGTAGTAGCACGGAGTCTGAAATTGTGTCCGGTATATGGCAATAGGCTCACCTCCTATTACATGGTACTCATAACATAAATAGTGAAAAGTGGGTGTTACATTGTACAGTGGCATAATGTGCACCTCTGCTTACCCCTTCGGGGATAAAAGGCGTGATGTTATGCTTATTACAAAAGATGGTAATATTACACTTGTTTGACATTTAGAATTATCTTAAGAGATGAGCGTGATCGCATAACGACGTCCCACAAAGGAATGTCTGCTTGCCCCTTCCCTGTTCTGTTTGATCTAAGTCACGTAAAATATAAGAATTGAATATGATAATCAAATTAGATGATGTCATCTATAATCTTCTTTTATAATGTTAATGTATAAAAAAAAAATCAACAAACAGAAATGTGAACTATAAACATCTTACCCAAATAATGCAATGGCTCCCAGTAATTATAAGTCTCATCACAATCAGCAATGTGTCCCCAGTATGCAGACACAATACGGGCGGTCAGCAGTAGACCGAGTGCTACTGCACCGCCTGGGTATGCTATACTCCGCAGGTCTGATGGAGCGTTTGTTACTAGGAACTCTCTGAAATATATAATTATGTGCCAGAATTAATACAAAGTCTTTAATTGGAAGTAAGTGAAGCAGATCAGTTAAAAATATAGCCACTTATTCATGTCCCAGAGACATGCTTATTTTTAAGGGGGAAAACATCGAATAACTGTCCCGCCTGGGTGAGGCGGGAGGGAGAGTCAGACTCTTACTGACTAAAAACCACCCCGTTCCTTCTCCTGCACGTCGAGTCAGAGCCCCGGTAACCCATAAGGTTCTCTGCGACTGCGAATCGGCATCGACCCTGTTGGGCCCCATCTGTGGTGGTCTGATGGCTCTTTGAGGCGCGCGCGGAACGCGACGCGCCGTATGCTCGGGGTCCCAGAGACATGCTTAACTTTAGTATTTCAGTGTTTTCATGATTGTATGTAATTCTAGCTTACAGGAGTTGCAGTGGTTTTGGCACACAATAGATAGTGGGCACCATTAATTAATAATAGCCAGTTATAAGTATTTTGCCTCCATGCCTCTCTTATTCAACTTTATTCAAAAGGTAAAATTGTTACTAAGTAATTATGTTACTCAGGCATTAACCCATATATTCTCCACTAACTACATTATATTATAGACTTTATTTCCAATGTTTAGAGACTACTTTTGTATGAACAAATTTAGAGGATGATTTACAAAAAATTTCAATGGGTTAATACTTAAATGATAGGTTTCTTAAGTCCATTTTCAATTCAACTGAAGAAAGGGGGTGTGGGATTATGTACACAGGAAATGTTTATGGGTTCTACCTAATGTATATCTTAGAATGTAAATTATTTAATTTAATAACACATAAATAACAATTCAAATTGTTTAGTTCAGAAGATCGAGAAAACTTGGTACTTAGAATGAATGGAGATGAAAATAATTAAAATAAACACACAAAGAATACATAAATATATAAGTAGAGTATTAGGAAATGCAACATCATATGTTTCAGAAATGTATCTTTATACCAATACCTACATACTTTTGCAATATAGTTCTATTGTAGATACATTTACCATTTACAAATGAAATGAAATAAACAAAATATAATTCATTGATAGCTTAGACTAATAAATAAATGAAATAGAGTATATGAAACAGCTGTGTTAACCAACTGTCAGAACTGCTGGCACAATTTCAAGCTGAAATATAATTCATATTCAAATTCTATTAGAAACATGTAAACTAATTTATGGATTAGTAATTATTTCACTCATTATCCCATTAATATAAGACTGGCACGTTTGTAGTGGCTCTATAATAATATTAGATAGACATTTACTAATGTAGTATTAACAAAAAAAAATAGCACTTCAGCAAAAATAGTTTTTGTTAGTTCAGCATCATGCTTAATTAACGTCAGCGGACGGTCTTTACCTTTGTTTGAGTACGGAAACGTCTGGATAAGCGCCAAACTGTAGCACCAGCAACAAATTAGAGCATTGATGAGCCAAAATAAAAATTATTATAACCTATAAATGATGCCAAGTGTTTTTATACCGCGAAACAGTAAGCAAAGTTTAGAATTTAATAATAGATATTAATAAAGCGTATTATATTATTACTGAAGGGCTTCTTTACATACCCTTCGTTCGCTTTTCGTTTTCCTTTGCTAAAACTTGTAGCCCTTTTAGCTCCGTTCTTATTGTGAATACTCCGTTGTCTAGCCGTTAGAGGCATTTTTCTTGTACTTTATTATCTAAATCATAAAATTCACAATCACAATCGTACGAAATTCACGTAAATGAAAATTTATTTTCAGAAGGAAGTTTACGTGTGAAATCTCCGCAAACCTGAAAATGACACTGACTGATTGACATAACATGAGTGACGTAGAAGTTGACATTGACATTGGAAAAGCGTTTACGAAGCTTATCTGCTGAATATTTCCTACGTGGGAATGCGTTCGAAATACTATTTCCAGATTTTTCTCTATATTGAAGAGAATGAAACGATTACTTAAGGTGGCCACACACGCTAGGGTTTGCATGACGGTTATAACTTTGCATGCAAAACCGACAAGCATAACCGAGTGTCATAGCACCGATAACTTATATTCTTCTGTCACATATACCATTATATCTACACACCTACTGTTGCACATCTCTGCATCACCCCATGGTTGACTGTTAGAGAATGCCACCCGGCATTAAGTCCGCCATCGTATGTTATTATACAGAAGTGTAAATAAATAAAAATAAATAAATAACTGTACAGTTTAATCACGTTGTCGGTTATGCATGCACGGCTAAAACCATCATACAAAACATAGCGTGTATGGCCTCCTTTAGTGTTTGTCAGCTAACATTGCAAAATTATTGCACTATATAATACAAAAATAGTCAACTGTTGCAAAACTCGCAATCAAGGGTAGCTGGCCGCCCGACCTGAACAGACCCGTGTATGTAGTGCGTCGCGTTCCCTGCGCACCTCAAAGGCCCAGACTATTACTGATGGGCCCAATTGAGCTGATAGTGCTAATACTCGACCTGGAGCTATGGACGACCTAGAAAGTACCTAACGACCCCAGCTCACAACAAAAGTAGGAATGGGATGATCTTTAGTTAGTATGACTGACACTCTCTCTTCAGAGAAAGGAGTCGTTGGTTTATTTTACTCCTAAGAAAACTTCTAAGAGTGAAAACAACTAGGTACTTTTTTATATAACAAAATACGATCGCGGCCACAGGCCGTGATCCGACCGGAATCACCGCACCTGGCACACCTCGACCTACCACTATATTGCGGCAGGTCCCACCACTAAGCAGCCCTTGCAGGCTGATTTCCTTCCTCGAGTAACGCGCGTGGAACATAACGCTAACGCCTATTCCCTTAGTCAGTCGCCCGCAGGCCTGTCCTATGGAGGTCGCAGATCGGCTACCATCTCGTGGCGTTGACGACAAACACATCTATGGCGAGAGGGGAGAGAGCTGAATGCCTCCCTTTCCTTTTTAGCCGCCTCTTTTGCTAACATGACACGTTCGCAGGAGGAAGCGACTCCGTCCCATGCACTCTCACTGTTGACAATAGCTCGCACTACGGTCGGCAATAAGAGATCATTCCCGCCCAGCACTGCAATGAGTTCACGACGTAGCTCTGCCCATGCAATAGCCCCCGAGCGTGTCCGCGTCGTATCCTCCAAATTGGAAAACAACTACTTTGTTCAACCCAACCCAAAATCACTTGCTTGTGAGACTAGCGATCAACGAGTTAGAAGAGTACTTCTTTCACTACATTTTAATTTATTCGTGTTTATTCGGTAGTACATAGATCTCCCTAGCCTTTCTCCTCTTTCCATTTCAAAGTCAAAAGTCAAAGTCAAAAATCATTTATTTCAATTAGACCAGGAAGGCACTTTTGAACGTCAGCAATAGAAATTTAAAAATGAAGCTATTTGCTCATTCCAAGGTGTAGATTCCTATGGAGAAGAACGAGCAAGAAACTCCATAGGTTACTCTTTTCCAATCAGTTTCACAATACAATTCTTCAGTTACACAGTTTTATTGGTTTGATTGTGCGAGAACAATGTAACACCAAATCTAGCCAAAGAGATCGAAAAAGAAAATAACCCTTAAAGACAATAAATAATACAGTCTGGAGCTGACCAGTCACAGTTGACGGCGCCCGTTCACGAACATGACACGTACACCAGCACCGCCCAACTCAACCATATTGCAGGGAATCTAGCGACCCAATGCACGTGCCACCGCCAATTCGATCTTTGAGTGAACATGACAACTCCAAGCTGACATAAATGCATTCTACTAGTCCAATTTAATATTTAGTTAATTACATTTCTCTCTGTGCTAAACTTACTGAGGTCAATCCTTGTCGCAGATGTCGGGTTCGTCTTGCCATTTTTTCTTCTGGGCCTTGGGTATTCTCCTGATCTTCTTCGTCAGATTCTTCTGATGAATCTATGACCATCATCTAATATTTAGGGTAAAAAATTGAAACAAACACATCAACATTAATATACATATTTATTTATGTATGTATGTAGTTAAAAATATAAATAAATAGTGTTGGTACAACACACTTGTCATACATTTTATCTACAAATGTATTTATCTATGTAGTATTATATTTTTTATAATTATGTACTTCTACAAGTACTCTGGAAATACCACAGAGTAGCCAACAAATGGAGTACTCATACAAATACTAACAGATTATTTAATATCGGTTAGCGAGTGTTTTCGATTTGTCTCGTTTACAAAATTTTGAGTGCTTAACAGATTCAATGTTTGTTTTTCTTATTATTGAAAATTAAAGTGTAAAAAGTAGATATTATGAAATGATAAATGTTAATACTGTCAACTATTACGTGAAAAAATATTTATATTCTGAACCATCTAAATATTTCAGGACTGAGTTCAAAATCAAGACAAAAATATCATTTTCTTCACAATATTAGTAAAAATTCTAGGTGTTATTACTTATTTAGGATCTTGTTGGTACATTACAACAATAGGGCCCTAAAATAGGGTCGATTTGATACTAACATCGATACAGGTACTTACAACAGCACTCAGATCAATGAATTACGAGACACTTAACAATTACATTGTTATAAAGTACATACGCCAGCAGCTTCTTTTTTTATTGGATTTTCGACTTTATATCAAAATTATAAAGTTCAAAATAATTTAAAGGACAGAAAGGAGCAGATTGACCTGCTGGCGTTTGTATTTTAAAACCTTTATAAGCTCTCACATAGAGTCGCATGCCTACTGGGAAACCATTCCTTAAGTGATATGTTTTATTTAGTACCTAATATTTTTACGTAAGCAGATTTTTTACAATTTACCCCCCATCCCCCTTGTTAGTAAAAATAAGCAAAGATCTTACCCCCTTTGCTTACGTAAACATTTTAAATTATATCTTTTTTATATTGTAATTTTAATATTCTCTTAGATACCATGATGTCTAGTTCTTTGTCGATCATTGCTTGTAATTTATAATTTCAATATGATGGATGATTCGTGTAAAAAAGTAAATAACTATACCGATGACGTAATCATCATCTAGACTCCCCTACCCCCCAGATCATCCAAAATAAGCAAAACAGAGACCCCCCCCCCCTATGGTGCTTACGTAATACTTGAATGGCCCCTAATACAACATACCACATAATCATTATTTTTCGAGTATCAAATCAACCCCATTAACCATATTTCATTATACAATAAACATAGAAAGCTATATGATTTGTTAAAACCATTCAACAACTATAGCTATTCACATTTGAGCTGCTTATAATATTCATTGTGCTACTATTTAAACCATGTATGTGTGTACACGTGAATTGGGATAATGACAGGGTATGAAAATTAAAAATATAATTAGTCCGTAAGTTAGGTAATGAAAAAATATTGGACACGTATTTTTTTTATTTTGTTGAAACGATACTTAGATAAAACGAATCAAAATTTAGGAGTGGGGGCTAAATCGTCATTTCTACGTATAAAATGTAGGTACATAGAAGTGACGTCACGCGACATTTCAAATCAATATCTCGTCGAAAATATTCGTTTCTATAAGAAAATAAAAAATACGTGTCTAATGTTTTAAAATACTTCACAGACGGACATTAAAATAAAAATTTGGCATCTACCCTATTACAAAGTATTAAAATCTTTATAATGTGAACTTCATTTTTTTTATCTAATGCTATTGAAAATACACTCTGCATCTTATTACAAATGCAATAGATACGAAAATTATCTGACATGTATAAAAATAGTTGTATATGGTATACAATACTAATTTTTATCTGACATGTATAAAAATAGTTATGTATGGTATACAATACTAATAATTTTAAATAGTATGTATGAACTAGATATGTTTTCAATCATAGTAGCTCAAATGTGAACAAAATTTTGCCTATAAAATTTTAAAACACGTATTTTAATGTCTTCTCCTTGATCTCACTACTGTCCATCCAGGGTCGCCGTCTTCATCCATTGGCTCTGGTTCTTGTTTTGGTTTAGATGAAGAGGCAGCTGCCCCGTTCATATTATTGTCAGGCACGTCATCATCGTCATCATCACTACTGCATGTTGAGTCATCATCAGGATTGCCATGGCACTGGAAGATAATTTTTTTACATAATTTCTGATTTTATATTTTTACTACTTATCAGGTATTGCTGGAATAGAGCACTTCTGTCAATTAAGAATATGAGATTCCTAAACTATTAATTTAAATGAGGTACAAAGACTTCTTTGTTCATTCTAGACAAAAGCTTAAATGAGTACTCCATTTACTACATACTCCATGTTTGTAATGTTTCTACTTACTTGTGGAGGTACTGATTCGTGTATCGGTTGGCTCAACCATTTCTGACATTTTGGCATTGCATCCAGCCTAGCTCGGAGTTCATCATGTCGACCTTCTTTAAGTAGTGTTAGAAACTGTAGTAGTAGAATTGCTATTTCTGTAAATAATAATAATCATTTACAAATAAATAAACTGCAACATGGTATGAAGTTTCATTTGTGAATTAAGTGTTAGAAAAACTAGATATGAGTTTTAGAAGGAGTTTCGATACTTAACAAGTTTAAAATTTCTCAGTCTTTCATTCTCTTGTCGACACATGCCAAATGACAGCATGACGGTTCACAACTATCAATGAAAACAAATTAATGACGTCTCAAAAATCCTACGTCACACATGTGAAGTTTACGTTTGATTTAACACGGATAGAAAATCCCACCGAACAACTGTTGGGCTGAGAGCCCGCCAGGCACGAACACCTCGTCTGGTCAGAGAATCCTCCCTTTCCGATCTTAGGGAACTTTAATCTCTGTTCCCTAAACTCTCATCAAATTGTGTCTGTACATGTAGCCAGTATTTACAATAGCCTTATAATACAACAAAGAATTCCTGACAAATCCTGAGTATTCAACATAGGTCTTTATTATCAAGGCGACAAAGTAAAAATTACCTCTGGGCGAGTCATCATGACAGACAGTCTCAAACTCCTCGTCCATGAGATCTTCAATAACTTCAGCGAGTTCATCTCTGTCCACTACATTCTCAACGCAGTATCTTGCTATGTACACTGCCATCAGTTGCGCAGTCTGAAATACAAGAAGAAAACATTTAAATAACATACACACAAACTTTTGCATTCAAAGCATGTATTATGTAGACGTTTATTCTTCTACAACATAGAAACTACTGATCAATAACTACTGCACGGTTAGTGCGGTGGCTAGGCAACTGGCTGCCACGCAATGTGTCGTGCGTTCGATTCCCGCACGGAACAACTTTGTGTGATCCACAGATTGTTGTTCCAGGTCTGGGTGTGATATGTATGTGCACTTGTAAACGCACCCACGACACAGGGGAAAATATTCTAGTGTGGGGCGAAGTTTTTATGATAATAAAAGGAAAATAGGAATCGAGAAGGATGTTCAATAGTCCGGAATAACAGATGGGTAGTTTATCCCAGTAATATAGGTGTAGCAGTAGGAAGGAACTAATGCGTAATGTTTATATTATAATTTACATAAGACATGGTATTCAAAATGTTTACTATAAAGGATTATAAATATTATTAAGCTCGTTGCAGCACAGATTCTTGGTTATCATAAACTTTATAAGAGGTTGGAGTGATCTATCGAGGGTTGTTTATAAATATAGCTTCATATTTAATAATTATGTTAAAGTATGTGATATGAAATATGAATGAATAAAGCACCATCATCCACAATATTTCGAATAATAGATTTTATTATTGAAAATGCAACTTGGTTGCTAAAAACATGCTGTGGCACATAATTTGTAGTTCAGACAAATATAATATTTATGCCCCTAATGTGCGGAATGATCGACAAGATAAACATTCTTTTTTACTTAGACACAGGGATGATCTAAACATGTTTTGAAGACATGCTTGGTAGAATAACACATTTCTTTAAATTTAAATGATATTACCTTTTCACCCCCAGGTGCCCCCATCCCATGTTCGACAGCCAGTTGTAACGCTGTCCAGTTATTCAAAACTAAGTCAACGATGGGTTTAAAATCGTCGTACAACATTCTTACGGCTTATATCTCACTTTATCTTAATAATTATTTTGAGACATAAAACTCTCACATTTTTATAACCTCTTCGAGGAGCAATTTTTTATCGATTATACATGAACGAATGAATGATAATAGATCACATTATTTATTTTTATGACATCTTGTGCAATGTTCGGAAAGTTATGAAAAATAATTAATGGAAATTGTAGGCAGTATGCTAACATTTAATTTTGATAACTAACTTTTTGTAATTTCTCAAATATTTTGAGGTCCAAATATTACTTTATTTTAAGTAATAAAGCCCTATTTATTAATATTTTTAGGAAACAGTTCATATGATACCGTGTTTCAGAACGAAAACAATAAATGGCGGTAAACTTCTAATTCGACTGTCAGTTTAATCGTTCTTCGTTACAAACCATTCGGTCAATCTTTCAAAAATTTGTAAACAAATCACGTTGAGAGGTTAAAAGTAGATTTTTCATGAAAAGTATGTTTTTTCCGTGGAAATTGGTGTGTTGTTAGTAATTTTTAAGAGAACATTGTGCTAAAATGGCTGAAGATATAAGTGTAACGTTTATTATACCGAAAGATTGCCGATCTGAAAATGAATGTTCTGAAGACATGCAACTTGCCTTTCTCGTAAGTTATATGCTTGAAAATACTATGATACTGTTCGATAAGTAAAATTGCCACAATCTACTAGTAATATACTACACTGGAACAAATGATTTAATAACTATTTTATGCATAAACTTATCTAGAGAACATCGAAAATATGTAATGGCCTGATGACGTTCTTGTTTTGAATAACTTCAAGTTTCAATACTTCTGCGAAGATTCGACGACTTTATTTATACAATATTCATGCTAAGTAGTATCTATATAGAACTAGGATGAACTAGAACTCATAAAACATCTTTAAATACAAGTGTAAATATAATTTGTCTAACTAGTTATGTTACATTAAGACTATCTTATACTGTGATCCTAAACTACCAATAACAGTGAATTTTCTACCTTTACAGACTTGTGAACAGCACTGTGGTGGTGGTTTGAGAGCACAATGGGTGCATGAGAGCAAATGGACAAAGTTTGAAGGGCTCACTAAGAGAGATGTGTTTGTTCTGACAGAGTTTGAGGGAGAATTCTATGAGAGGCTGCAGGGTACTAAGTGCTTGTAAGTATATTTAACGATTTTCGATAACGATCCTTAAGCTGGATATTCAATAGAATGTCTCATAAATAGTTGTAAAAGTCAAAAGTTTTGTTCCAAGTAAATGCAACTGTTACAAGTATGCAGTAAGTTTCTTTTTATATATTTGATGGGCTAACGTTTGACCATTATCTCTCAGAAGTTTGAGAACTGTCAAATGTAAATACTCATAATAATATTATGTTGATGTTTTACTATCATATTTTGTTATCTTCAATAACTTTCTTATCAGTGGCTACTGAATATGAATATGTCAGCTCAGTACATAATGTTTTCAAATTCTACCTGTTGACAATAAATTCACCATTCCAATGGGTTGACATTTGACAATTGTGTCTCCTGGTGGTAAGCGATAATGCGGCCTGCAATGGACCATGTCTGCCTATAAGCAACCTATTCACTCGAGCTTTAAAGTTGCCTAGGAAACACAGACTCTGGCAAAGAATTTCACTCCTTAGAAGCACATACAAAGAAGCTTGATGGAAAGCGGTTCATGTATGTGGGTGGAAAAACTACCATAAATCGGTGACGATTCTAATCAACTATTCTCTACACGTCCCTGAAAAATCTACGTCCAAATACTATTATGATCAAACCTTCAAATATGCCCTTGATTTCCAGATTGGTAGGTCCTCGTTGCTTATCATGCTGCCTGACAGAAGGTACTCCCATACCTTCAGGACCGGAGCCTGTATACACGATAGCCATGAGAGGTCTAACTATTACTGCTAGTGGATTGTCTAAGACACAGAAGGTATGGAGATTTGTTTCTTCTTTTACTCATTCCAGTAACTATTGTAGAAGAAATGATGTAGGTAGTAGTGACTACGGAGCCGCGGAGACCGGCTAGAAGAGTAGGAGTAGGAACCGGTGGTTTGTTGTAGTTAGTAAGGGTCTCTCTCTCGCCTAACCCAAGGCGGGAAAAGTAATTCGTTGATTATGACCCCTCAAAAAAAAAAAATTAATAGTGACTAACAAAATGAATGTGTCTGTGTTTCAGGAAGAAATAAAGAGAAAAGTGCATTGGATGGGTGGTATCTACAGCACTGTACTAACAGATGACACTACACACTTGATATCCGACACAGTGCTCTCAGATAAGTATATTGTAAGTACGACTTACAAAGACAAATAAATGACCAAAAACAAAATTAAAAAAAAGTAATTACAAATGTGAAGTGCAACATGTGAATTTATTTCTGCAAATAGGCTACAAGGCGAGGTATTCCTCGTAGCGCTCCCGTTTTGAAGCGCTCCCGTTTTGTTCCTCCAAGCGCTCCCAAAAGGAGCGCTTCAAAACGGGAGCGCTACGACGAATACCTTTACAAGGCACCACTTTTACACGTCAATTTTTAAGCGGTTGATTTGGTCGACGATTAGATTTGTTATACTCTTATATCATAACTTCAAGAGTGTTTGTTTATTTATTTTATACATACCGTAACATAACATCACGCCTTTTAACCCTGAAGGGGTAGGCACATTATGCCACTGTACAATGTAACATCCACATTTCACTATTTATGTTATGAGTCCCATGTAATAGAGGGTGAGCCTATTGCCATATACCGAGCACAATTCCAGACACCGTGCTACTACTGAGAATTTATTTTTAAAAACGTCTGTAATAGTTTGCCCTACCCGGAAATCGAACCCGAGACCCCTTGCACGGCAGTCGCACTTGCGACCACTCGTCCGACGAGGCAGTTCATCCTGTACTCCATAGAAATTTGATTAATCATTCACAGTAATATAACCTTTCGAACTCTTTGCAGAAATCAGTTGAAAAAGGGATCCCTATAATGGCAGTAACATGGATCCAAGCTGTATGGGAGGCGTCCCTCCAGCTGAACATCAGTGCTTCCTCTTCAGAGTTCCTCGGCCACCGTCTGCCACCATTCACAAACCTTCAGGTCACAACATCAGGCATCCCGAAGAAGGATAAGCAGTTAATTATGAAGCTGGTTAATGAGCATGGTGGACAGTTCTCAGGGGCGTTCCAGAGTGAGACTACTGATATTGTTGTGTTGACCAAGTTAGTATCTGTTCATTACTATGATATACTTATCTAAAAGATATGAGATAGGCCAATATGCAAGCGGTCACTGGTCTTACTAACTCCATTATAGACCTTATTTCCGATGTTTAGAGACCACTTTTGTATGAACAAGAGTGGGAGAGCCATGCTTCGGCACGAATGGGCCGGCTCGACCGGAGTGATACCACGGCCCCACAGAAAACCGACGTGAAGCAACGCTTGCGTTGTGTTTCGTCGTGTGAGTGAGGTTACCGGATGCCCAATTACCCTCCCCTTCCCCAATCTCCCCAATTCCTGAATCCCCAACGGTCCTCAAACTCCTAATCCCCAAAAAGCCGGTAACGCACTTATAACGCCTCTGGTGTACCAGGTGTCCATGGGCGACGCCGATTGCTTACCATCAGGTGATCCGTCTGCTCGTTTATCGGCTTATGCTATAAAAAAAAAACAAGTTTTGGACATGATATATCAACGTATTAAGTAATGGGAGATAGTTTGGAACACACATTACTGTATATTTGACACATTACTGTATGTTTGATGCTGTGGGACGGTTCGCGTTTTTGATTCTACACGAAGTAAATCTTTATGTGTTGTTCAGTGCTCAGATGTGATGTGAAATTATAATGGTTGTAGATGCACCCACGACACAGAAGAACATTCTAGAGTCTGATCACGTTTCTTTACCAAAAATAATAATTTTCATTCTAAATAAATTATTATGTTTCCGGCTTGCTCACGTAATAATTTGACGAGAAACTCGACTAGTTTCAAGCCATGCTAGAGGCTCATATTCATGAGCATCATTTCGCGACCCGCGACGCGGCGACTGTCGCGCTACTACTGTGAATATGAGCCTCTAGCACGGCTTGAAACTAGTCGAGTTCCTCGTCAAATAATTATGTGGCTAAGCCGAAAACATAATAATTTATTTATGGACTAAGAGCCAGCGGCCCGCAGACCTTCGGTAAAGTATAAAACCTGTAAGTTTCTCAAAGTATGTCCCCAACACAGGTAAGAATGAATCCCGTCTATGTAACTTGGGTCGCGGTGGCTTTCGCAGGTATCAGGTAACAAAGGTGTGTAAAATTGTGTGTTAAATTTGGTAAAATATAAAACTCAGTTTTTACATATTTGACTTATAATAATCCCAAAAGTCATCTTGCCGAAAGCCAGACACTTCGTACAGTTCCAACCCTCTGCCAGACACCTTTAAAGTATATTTAATTGTTACTATACTTACGGTATAGTATAAAATCTGCAATTTATATATGTTATTTGGATAACTATAAAATAATGTTTCTTCAATAGCCAGACAGTTTCTGTGGTTCCTTTATGTTGCCAGGCACATAAAAAGTCTAATGTAGGTGCGAGCGTGAGGGATATATTAGTTAGCGGGTGCGAGTGAAATAGCGCGTTCGGTCCTTTGCGACGTTTTACTGCGCATCAACTGTCATTTATTGTGTATTATGTGGTGAATAGTCATACGTACAAGAAACGTTTTATTATTGTTTTGTTCAATTTATAAAATAATAATAAGGGAATATCAGTGTGATCATGGAAGGACAATTAATTTGTTTTCTGTGTAAGAAAAGTGATGGAAAAATAATATTCTTTTTTTTTTTGAGGGACCATTAAAAAAATGTCAAACTCATAATAATGCTCACCTGAAGAAACCAACAACATACAAACCAGAAAATAATGGTTGGATCCTGCAAAATGATCAATATCATTTTAAATGGTTTGAAGGTGATCAGCTACCAAACTACGTCAGTGATTCTCTAACAACTGTATCAGGTATGTAATTATGATGTTACAATATTATCGAGGAAATTTTGATTATTTATGATTATATTAACATGGATTAATTATTACAGAAACTGGCGAAGAAGAAGACGATATTGATAACGACCAACCCATAGATTGGAGCAGTGATGATGAAGACACTCAAGATATCGACGACTACGATGACAATAATTAAATATACTCTTTTTTTATTAATAAAATATCTTTGAAATGTTTTTGAATTAATTATGATTCCTAAACACGAAAATTTTATAAAAGAATTTTCTAAACATTTATTCGTTGATTCTATGTTATTATACCCTTACTAATGTATTTTATTAATGAATTTTCATAGTAAATCTAGAAAATAGTTCTCATTATACACAATAAATGACAGTTGATGCGCAGTAAAACGTCGCAAGGGACCGAACGCGCTATTTCACTTGCACCCGCTGACTAATATATCCCTCACGCTCGCACCTACATTAGACTTTTTATGTGCCTGGCAACATAAAGGAACCACAGAAACTGTCTGGCTATTGAAGAAACATTATTTTATAGTTATCCAAATAACATATATAAATTGCAGATTTTATACTATACCGTAAGTATAGTAACAATTAAATATACTTTAAAGGTGTCTGGCAGAGGGTTGGAACTGTACGAAGTGTCTGGCTTTCGGCAAGATGACTTTTGGGATTATTATAAGTCAAATATGTAAAAACTGAGTTTTATATTTTACCAAATTTAACACACAATTTTACACACCTTTATTACCTGATACCTGCGAAAGCCACCGCGACCCAAGTTACATAGACGGGATTCGTTCTTACCTGTGTTGGGGACATACTTTGAGAAACTTACAGGTTTTATACTTTACCGAAGGTCTGCGGGCCGCTGGCTCTTGCTCTATTAGTATGTCTCACGAAAGTAACAATACAATTCATTCTTTTTAATTTCTAGGGAAGGTGTAGGCAGTGAGAAATACAAAGCTGCCCTAGAATACGGTAAGGCGGTTGTACTACCGTCGTGGGTGAAAGATTCAGCGGCCAAAGGAGTAGCGTTGCCCCTGGCGAAGTATAGAGTGGCCGGCGCATCCACATCGTCACCTCTCGCTGAATCCCGGCTGCCTGATATGAGTGAGTATTTTTGAATTTTTACCGACTTCAAAAAAAGGAGGAGGTACTATGTTCGGCTGATTGTTTTTTTTTTGTTTGGTCGCACAGTTCTCCGCCATTTGTGAACCGATGTCCAAAATTCTTGTTTTGTTTGAAAGGGTATACTCCCGAGATGGTCCCATTTCCATGAGGTCAGGATCTGATGATGGGATCCTAGGGAAACCGAGGGGAACTTTCGAAAATTCTATGGGCGCGTAATGCGTCTATTATGTTTTTCAATAACGATTTTTAAACACTACAATTTGATAAGGGTCTGGAGTCAAAAAACATCTGTAATATTTTGCCCGACCACTCTGCCAACAAGGCAGAAATATTAATCTTAATATTTATGTATATTTGTTGTACTGTTTGTAGGTTTAAACTTCTCTCGTATCACCAATGTGAGGCCGCCGAGCAATTTTGTAGATGAAACGCGGTCGGCGGATGCAACTATGTTATCTGGTAAAATGAAGGTAAATAGTTATTTGAATCATTTAACCCTTTGAGTACCGTCATTATAGACACAATTAAAGCACAATAGGTTGCGGTCACCGGTGTCCTCGCGGTGTTTGACAGTTTAATAATAAAAATAAAGTTATAACATGTTAAAGTGGTTGCAACACACTGTCCCAAAGGTTTTTAAGTTATTATTACGAAAATAGTTACCCTTTTTTGCCAAAATCTCGACTTAAGTGAATAAGTCGAGATTTTAGACAGATTTTTAGAGATCGACTGCGTTGCGCAAAAACCACAGAGGTCTTTTTGTATAGTGTAATGTTTGAGTGTTAGTAGTCATTTTATTTTTGTATATATATTTTAAAACGTTGCCCCACACTATGATCTGGGTATGGACCCGGAACAACAATTTGTGGATCACTCAAAAAGTTGTTCCGTGCGGGAATCGAACCTGCTACACGTTGCTGCCGTGCAACGAGTAGCCGTGCAGCGTGTGCGTGTAGCAGTTTTCGTTTAATCCTTACTAATATTATAAATCGGAAAGTGAGTTTGTTTGTTTGTTCCACTTTCACGCCATAACTACTAAACCGATTGCTATGAATTTTTGCAGTTGTATACTTAGAAGTCCGGATTAAATAATAGGGTACTTTTATTCCCGGAAAAATTTGATATTCCCGAGGGAAAACAAAAGTATTGGTATAGATGGCGCTGTATGTATTGGTATATGTCACATTGGCTTTTTATCCTTTTGTGACGCGAGCGAAGCCGCGGGTAAAAGCTAGTTAATTATATTCTGCTAGTTATAAATTAATGATTTATTTTCAGTTCACACAAGACACGAAGAAGAGTGATACTTCCATAGACAAGGAAATAGTGACGGCGTTCGAAACTTTCGACATGAATCTCATCAAGAAGGCTGGACCTATCTTCGATGGATTCTGTGTAAGTTAATTATTATGAGAGTGCCTCGTTGGCCGAGTGGTCGCAAGCGCGACTGCCGGGCTAGGGGTCTCGGGTTCGATTCCCGGGTCGGGCAAAGTTTTAATGGGTTTTTAAAAAAAATCTCAGTGGTAGCACGGAGTCTGGAATTGTGCCCGGTATATGAGAATAGGGTCACCCCCTATTACATGGGACTCATAATATAGTAGTGAAAAGTGGATGTTACATTGTACAGTAGCATAATGTGCTTCTCTGCCTACCCCTTCGGGGATAAAAAGGCGTGATGTTATGTTATGTGAGTAAGTAATTAACATTTTCATTCATAAAAAATACTCTTAAAATAACAAACTTTGCATGCTATGTTTTTATTTTAGCGAAACATGTAAGTAAGTAGGTAAATTATTTATTTGTGTAATACATGGTTTAAATTGGTGTTAATATAATTACAATAGTGAGGTATTGTAATAATGTGTATTATGCAAATAAATGATTTACTTCAAAGTCAAAGTCATTTATTTCAATTAGGCTAGAATAGCACTTTTGAACGTCAACAAAAAAAAATTAAAAGTGAAGCTATTTGCTCATTCTAAGGTGTGGATTCCTATGGAGATGAACGAGCAAGAAACTCCATAGGTTACTCCTTTTCAATCAGGTTCACAATACAATTTACTAGTTACATAGTTTTGCTGTTTGGATTGTGCGAGAACAATGTGACACTAAAATCCAGTCAAAGTGATCAAAAAAGAAAATAACCTTAAGGACAATAATACAGTCTGGAGCTGACCACTTGTGATATCCGTGAATCACAGGGACAATAAGACACAAAAAAAACGCATTGCAATAGTGGTGGTGTACGAGGTTGTACGTAAACCTAATCCTAAGCCAGACCAGAACGTAATGGAGATCATGTGCATTCCATAAATGAAGATAATGATGATAAATTGTGTAATTGCATAGATCTGGGTGTGCGGTCTGGAGGGCGTCCCCCGCGAGCGCGCGCTGGGCGTGGTGTCCCGCGGCGGCGCCGTGCGGTACGACGCGCCACACCCGCGCCTCACGCACGTGCTGGCGCCGCGCGCCGCCGCGCCCGCCGCGCGCGCCGCCGCGCCCGCCGTGCCTGTACTCTCCCCGCTGTGGCTGCTCAGGAGCGTCGAGGCTGGACGCGCGCTGGATGAGGCACAGGTGACGACATTTTTTATATTTGACTAGCGAACCCAACAGACGTTGTCCTGCATATCCACTTCAATGTATTGATAATAATATATTTTTATATATATAAACAAAAATTCATTCAAATTAGTTCAGCTGTTTAGGATAAATAACCTAAACATCAACTGCAGCGCCATCTGCCGGGCTGTCAAAGTCAAAGCATTTATTTCAATTAAACCATAGTTTGGCACTTTTGAAACGTCAACTGACTGCTGATTTGTGAATCTAAACCATTCCCAGATCCCCTTGAACACAAACAAAAAATTTCATCAAAATCGGTCCAGTTGTTTGAGAAAAATTCAGTGACATGCACCTCACAGAAGAATTATATATATAAAGATGAGCCGACGTTTAACCACTATCTCGCCGGGTGGTAAGCGATGATGCGCTCTACGATGGAGCACGTCGACGCACAAGCAACATATTCACTCGGGCCTTGAACACACCCTTCAGGAAACACAGACTCTGGCAAAGAATTCCACTCCTTAGCAGTACGTACCAGGAAGCTTGATGCGAAACGCTTCGTGCATTTATGTACATTTTAAAGTGTAGAGAAACATTTATTTGTTTTTGAAATGTAGCTGAGATTCGATATTTAACTTTATAGGGTTCAGAAATGACCTGTGTATAAGAGCTACGGTTTTTTCTCGTCAGATGTTGCCTTAGCCTAAGATCTGTATTTCTGACTGTCCGATAAATAATAATTAGCTAATGTAAAACCATAGCTTTAGACTTTTAATTTTTGTTATCTACAGTTATAGTACAAATAAATCTCACATTACATTAACACCAATCAGTGAACAAAAACACGTAACCCTCATTGGGTCTAGATTAACCCTATTGAATAATCCTTTGAACCAATCAATTGACACCACCACTACTAAAAATACGTATTGGTATTTGGGAGGTAACATAAATCAACTAAATATCACGGGTTACTCACGTGAATATACTGAGAAAACTGTACTGTTAGTAGGCTGCGCGACATCGCCGCGACTGCGCGCGCTGCTCAAGAGGAAGAACCCCTCTGTGGACCCCGGTAGTACTGGATTGGGACCAACTCTTGTTGAGACAGACAGTCTTTCTGGGAACGGGAATCAGAAAGGAGATATGTATAGTATTTTCTCGTGTAAAATCACAGGTTATGAGTTAATCTCTAAAGTGTCTAATACTCGGCGTGTCTAATATGTGCGTAGTAAACCAAAGATTTAGACACTTATCTACTAACTTTCAACAACAACATTTATTTTTCTGTCTGTAATTTTTAGGCGTAATGATGTATTTATGTAAACCCTCTGTGGCTCGAAAATAGTAGACCTTTTCTCAGTATATTCACGTGAGTAACACGCGATCTTTAGTAAATGTAGTATGTCTCACGATAGTTATTATAAAAACGTAACATAAATTGTTAAATAATATATTGAACTTATTTTTCATAATCCACAGTTCCTAATAGAAGACAAACCAAGTACACCAGCGAAGTCCAGCGCCCGCAAGCCCCGCGTAGAGCCCGCGTCGCCTATGAGCAAACGTAACCTCGCGCTACTACGCCGGGGACCACTAGACCTGCCGCCACCCATGCCAGAAGTAGAAGAGCCTCAAGATGAACTTGTTAATCATTATCTTAGCCGTAAGTAACATTATTAATTAGAAAAATACATTAATTAGTATATTTTTGTATGGAGATTTTTAATTTGTATGGATTTTTATTATACTTATTGTCAAAGCATATTCTTTGACAATAAGCTTTGTATCGACGGTTTTTCAAGTCAAGTCTACATTTAATAAGTTTGCTTGACCAGTTTCGAGCCACATTGGGGCTCATAAATTTTTGACGTGACAGTATTGGTCAAAATCTAAGCCGTCACCTGTGACCGCTCTCCACGTACACCATAATAGACCTTATTTCCGAAGTTTAGAGACTACTTTTGTATGAAAAAATGGGATTTTTCATAATCGGACATTTACGAGTACACTACATAGTATAAAACAAAGTCGCTATCCGCCTTCTGTCTGTCCCTATGTATGCTTAGATCTTTAAAACTACGCAACGGATTTTGATGCGGTTTTTTTAATAGATAGAGTAATTCTTAAGGAAGGTTTAGATATGTATAATATATGCATATAGCACCCGTGCGAAGCCGGGGCGGGTCGCTAGTCACGCAGTATTATAGCTTATTAATTTTAGTTCCAATTTGAAAGTTCACAATAAAACTGCCGACAATATTTTTTATCTGTATCCCAGAACAAATAGAACCAGAAAGAGAGAAGACTCCAGAGCCAGTTCATCAGGAGACGGCTCCACCTGTAGCACTAGTATGTCAGCCTGACATCACCGACGATGTGGCAGAGGATCCCACTGAGGAGATCGAACAGATATTTAGAGGTGAGAGAGGAAATACCATTATTATAAGATTTGCCTATGCCATTTAATCTTTGAAGCGGTAAAGATGCATGATCCTATGTAAATACCAGACTCCCTGCAACACATACCTACATTTTTTTAACCGTTGCCCCACACTAGGACTTTCTCATGTGTCGTGGGTGCGTTTACAAATATACAAGGTCACATACACATGACACTCAGACCCGGAACAACAATCTGTGGATCACACGAAGAGTTGTTCCGTGCGGGGATCGAACCCGCGACACGTTGCGCGGCAGCCAGTTGCCCAGCCACCGCGCTAACCGTGCAGTCGAGCAATATAGCTTATAGCTTAAGAGTAACCGAAAAAAAATTATGAATCGAAAAAAAACAAACAAACATACAAACATAACATCACGCCTTTCTTCCCAGAAGGGGTAGGCAGAGGTGCACATTATGGCACCTAATGCCACAATTTAAAAAAACTCTTAACCTTTATCTGCTTGATCCGCGAATGCAATCCGAGACACCTTGCTTGGCAGTCGTGCAAGCTATTGTCATAATTTTATGAATGTTAATTTCTGTTCTACATTATTTAAGATACCTTTTTCCATTACGGATACAGAAAAGCTACTCAATCGGGTACTTGCTATTGCTAACTAGTCAAATCCAATACTTTTTTCGAACTGCTAAAAACGACAGTTTTCTATGAATTTTGTACAAGCTTGTGTCATGTTATGTTATGTTATAAAATTACACATCGGTGGTAGTTTAAAAACCTTTTTATTCCTTCAACAGGTATAAAAATAGAAGTGCAAGGTTTAGACGAGGAAGCTCTATGTGAGCTAGGAGCAGAAGTGTCGGCGGCCGGCGGAGTACTGGCGGGGCCGGGCGCCGGGGCCATGTATGTACTCGTACCACTCGACTTTGAACTACACGAGTTGGTCACCAAGGACGCTGAGGCCGTCACTGTGTTTTGGATTGTAAGTATTACATTTTTGTTGGCCGAGTGGTCGCAAGTGCAACTGCCGGGCAAGGGGTCTCGGGTTCGATTCCCGGGTCGGGCAAAGTATTACTGGACAAAATCTCAGCAGTAGCACGGAGTCTAAAATTGTGCCCGATATATGGCAATAGGCTCACCCCCTATTACATGGTACTCATAATATAAATAGTGATAAGTGGGTGTTACATTGTACTGTGGCATAATGTGCACCTCTACCTATTCCTTCGGGGATAAAAGGCGTGATGTTATGTTTATGTTTATGTGTCATTACGCCTAAAAATTACAGATAGAAAAATAAATGTTGTTGTAGAAAGTTAATAGATAAGTGTCTAAATCGTTGGCTAACTACGCACATATTAGGCACGCCAAGTATTCGACACTTTGGGGATTAATTCATAACTTTTTTTTTTGGGCCAACCTCGCAAAACCACTGCAACTCCTGTAAGCCAGGATCTACAGTAGATACAACCATGAAAACACTAACTCATTATCTCAAACACTCTAACACATACTAACTCATAACCTGTGATTTAACATAAGAAAATATTATACATATCTTCTTTCTCATGCCCTTTCCCAGAAAGACTGTCTGTCCCAACAAGAGTTGGTCCCGATCCAGTACTACCACCGGCCGGTCCGCGTCCCGTCGTGGGCGGGCGCGGGCCCGCTGGCCGGGGTCGTCGCCAGCCTCAGCACCTACAGCGGGGTCGAACGAGCATTCCTTGACGAACTCGCCAAACTACTGGGTGCTACGTAAGTAAACTATATTATAAACTAAAGGAATTGCTTCAGTTTTTAATTAAATGTTAACTTATCTGGAAAATATTTTTACAGATTTTTGTTTATTTGGGTGAACAACTTAGGTTTGAAGAATAAATGAATGTTCTTATAATGTAGCCAAGTT